TGCCCCTGCACAGCTGATCCTCCACAGAAGGCAGAGGTTGGTGGTAAGCGGTCACAGGCAATCCTTGCAACTGACTGGCCTGAGTAAATCCCCTGTTCATCTGCCAACAGCAACCAAGGCTCAATTACAAGAGAAGGGTGTATTCAGCCCACATGAAGGGCACACCTTAAGGACCCACCTAGGGTGACAGGGGAGACTGTGTCACTGGACCCTACAGGACACCTACTACACTAGGACACACTACAAAGACACAGAGTCAAAGCAGCTGTACCTAATACATATCAACAGACACAGGGAGGCTGCCAAAATAAGGAAACAAAGAAATATGGCCCAAATGGAAGAAGAGATCAAAACTCCAGAAAAAGAGCTAAATGAAATGGAGATAAGCAATCAGATGCAGAGTTCAAAACACTGGTTATAAGGATGCTCAAGGAACTCAGTGAGGACCTCAACAGCATGAAAAAGATCCAATCAGAAATGAAGATTACACTAATTGAAATAAAGAACAATCCACAAACTCTTCTGTTGTTTCCCTGTAACCAAGAATCAAATTAATGATTTGGAACATAAGGAAGCAAAAAACAACCAATCAGAACAAGAAGAAAAAAGAATCCAAAAAGATGAAGACAGTATACACAGCCTCTGGGACAACTTCCAGATGTCCAACATTCACATCATAGGGGTGCCAGGAGAAGAAAAAGAGCAAGAAATTGGAAATCTGTGTGAAAAAATAATGAAAGAAAACTTCCCTAATTTGGTGAAGGAAATAGACATGCAAGTCCGGGAAGCACAGAGAGTCCCAAACAAGATGGACACAAAGAGGCCCACTCTAAAACACATCATAATTAAAGTGCCAAAGGTTAACGATAAAGAGAGAATCTTGAAAGCAGCAAGAGAAAAGTTAGTTACCTACAGGGGAGTTCCCATAAGACTGTGAGTTGATTTATCAAAAGAAACTTTGCGGGCTAGAAGAGATTCACAAGATGTATTCAAAGTCATGAAAAGCAGTGGCCTACAGCCAAGACTGCTCTACCCAGAAAAGCTACCATTCAGAATCGAAGGGCAGATAAACAGCTTTCCAGACAAGAAAATACTAAAAGAAGTCATCATTACCAAACAATTATTACTATATTTTGCTGTGTACAACATACTTTCACGTATCATGCACACCCACATTTTTGTGGATCTTATACATGGAATACCCATTATTGTATCCATGGTATGTAATCATTATACCCATGTATAATGTATATCCTTATTTTCTCCTCAAAAATTTGGGAAAAAAGGAATGTATTATGTACAGTAAATATGGTACAGGAGATGTTAAATGGGCTTAAGAAAAATATCAAAACTATGAACAATAAAATAGCAATAAATATATACTTGTCAACAATTGAATCTAAAAAACAAAGTAAACAAGAAGAACAGAGACAGAATCATGGATATGGAGAGTACTTTGATGGTTGCTAGATGGAAGAGGGGCGTGAGGGAATGGGTGAAGAGGTGAGGGGATTAAGTACAAACAGGTAATTACAGAATAGCCATGGGGATGTAAAGTACAGTATAGGAAATGGAGTAGCCAAAGCGCTTACATGCATGACCCATGGACATGATCAACGGTGGGGAGACTGCCTGAGGGAATGGGTGTGCTGGGTGGAGGGGAGCAAAAGGGGAGAAATCAGAACTATAATAGCATAATCAATAAAATATAACTAAAAAAATTTCACTTTCCATTTGTTCACTGATTTCTCAATATTGACCATTTATCTTGTAACCTTGCTAAATTCACCTGCGATTTCTAATAATTTTCTGTAAATTCCTTTAAATGTTTCTGAATATTTACGTCATTTGTGAATACAGGCTGTTTTAATTCATCTTTTAAATTTTAATTGTTTTTTTCCTGGCTGTATTGTACTAGGTAGGACCTCTGTACATAGAAGTGGTGGGAGCAGACAGAAGCCGAAAAATTAAAGACACTTGACATTTATTGTGGATAACACGAAAATAAAGCTCATTCTATGATTGCTTCTTATCTATCTTACCAACAAGTATCAAATACATAATGGTCCTTAACCTAATATGACTTGATTCTTCCCATAATTCTATGCATACTACAATTCCTTGGGGTGAAGAAGTATGTATGCTTCTATTCCTACTGTGCTGAGTTTTGTTTTTTGTTTTTTTAAATCATGAATGGGGCTGAATGCAGTCAAATGCATTTCCAACTACTGAGATGATCTTACTGAATTACACTGATTGCTACTTAAACATTAAACCAACTCTGCAGTCTTGAGATAAGTCCTACTTGGTCAAGATGTATTAACATTTAAGATACTGCTGAATTTGATAGCCTAATTTTCTGTTGAGGATTTTTTATCTGTGTTTATGAGGGATACTAGGTCATTACTTTCTTTTCAAAGAATGTCACTGGCCAATTTTGATAGTCAGGATTTGCTGATTTCTTAAAATGAACTGCTAAATGTTATCTCATCCTCTATTTTCTAAAACAGTTTGTGTAAAATGGGTATTACATCTTTCTTAAGTGATAAAATTCACCACTGTAGTCATCTGGCCCTAGATTTTTCTTGGCAGTAAGGTTTTTAATTACAAATTCAAAAATTTAAATGGGTACAGGGCTAATCATATTGTGTTTCCTCTTGTGTCTGTTTTGTAATTTATGTTTCAAGGGATTTGTGCTGAAAAAGAAATACATCTGAGTTGTCAAATATATTGGTATAAAGTTGTTCATAATATTCCTTTAATATCTTCTTACTATCTGTAGGCTCTCTAGTGATATCCCCTATTTCATTCCTGATATGAATTTGTGTCTCCCTTCTTTTTTTCAATTAGTCTAGCTGTGAGCTTATCAATTTTATAGATCTTAAAAAAAAAACAAAACCAGCCATTGTTATCTATTTTTTTCTTTGGTTTGTCTCTTTTCTATTTCATTGATTTCAATTCTCACGTGTGTTGTTTCCTTACATTTCTACTTAGAGTGTACTTTACTCTTCTTTCTCTAGCTTCTGAAGTTGGAAGGTTAGATTATTGTTTTTAAACCTTGTTCCTATCTTATATAAGCATTTAAGACTATTTATTTCTTCTAACCACTATTTTAATCTTACAAATTCTGATGTGGTGGTTTCAATTGTTCAAAATATTTTCAAATTTCACCTGTAATCTTCTTTTTGACCTCTGTGTAAGCTAGAAGTAATTTTCATATATTTGAGGTTTTTCCAGATGTTTTTTGTTGTTGTTTCTAATTGAATTCTGCTGCGATCAGAAAATAAACCTTATGTAATTTCAAGCCTTTGAAATTTATTGAGACTTTAAGGCCTAACACAATGGCATATTTTAGTTCCATGTGCATTTAGAGAGAACATAGTTTCTACACTTTTTAGATGCAGTGTTGTATAAATGTCAGTAGGTTAAGCTGGTGAATCCTGTTCACATCTTCCATACTTTACTGACTTTCTAACTTTTTATTTTATCAATTATTGAGATGATTATTAAAATCTCCAACTCTCAAGATTTATCTAATTTTTAGTTCAGTGTGTTTAGTTTTTATTGTCCTTTCTTTAAATTCAATGATCTCTTTTCTGTAGTGGTCAATTTACTTAAAGCCTATCTTCTGAACTTTTCATTTCTGATATGTATAGAGTAGGGCAAAAAAAGGTTTACAGTTGTTTGAATGGAAAATAATACAATAATTAATAATACCTGAATAAACTGTTTCATGGACTCACAACTATAAACCTACTTTTGCCTTACCCTATATTGCTTCAGTTCTAGGTTTTCCTTTTTATTCTTTTTAAAAAAGTTACCACATCTCTTCTCTTGTTACATGCATCTTTTACTTTTAATCTTTAACTCTGATATTTTTTGAGGCTTGTATTTAAGCATTGCTAAGGTAGACATGGGAGTAGCTCTTACTATAGGACTGGGGTTGACCTAAATCATGCCTTCTCTGGGGTTTCCCTTGAATGCCCAATGTGTCCCAATACAAGTTTCTGCTCTAGCTGGTCAGAAATATTTCCCAGCACCATGTGGCCTTTGAAATTGCAAATCAACTCACAATTCCCAGGCAGCTGTTTTCTGCCAGGACCTGCACTGTGGTGTGCAGAGGAGGAAGCGGCTCACCCAAGTAGGTAGTAGCATTTTATCTCTGACACTGTTTACTGACACTGTTTAGAACTGTTGGCACAGAATGATTTTTGGTGTGTTTTACTGCCCTTTGAAGTTCCACCTGAGGCGGATACACCCCATCACTTCCTCCTTGGTACTCCATTGCCTTGTACTTCTTGAACTGTGCATGTACAACATAGAACTCAAAGGCTGAAAAAAACAAATTTCTGGAGCTCCTATCTCTGCCTACATTTCTTCTTCTGCATACCCCTAGATCTCTAGATCAGAAATCTAGACAATTTCAGGAGCCCCAAATTCTAGTCTCTGCCTTCTTTGGCTCGGTGGTATCCATGTGTTCAGCTTCATTTCCACCTACTTGACCCATGGCCTAGAAAATGCTTCCAGGCAGAAAGCCAAAGCAATTATGGAGCTCACTTCACATGCTATCTTTCTTTCAGAAATCCTTTGCTGTTTGGTTGTTATCTAACACCCAGAAACACGCACTTCAGATGTCTTGACTAGTTTTATAGTTATTTACATAGGGAAGTGGTCTACTCTAATAGTACCAGTTACACAGTCATAACAACAAACAAAAATTCATATTAATGGTTTTTAGGAACTACATTGCACTCCTAATTTCTAATAGTTAAAAGAATTTTTGCCCCTAAATTCACCACAAGAAAGGTTTCTTATAAATTCAATTTAAACTTCAAAAACCACCACATAAGTCCAAAACAGATTCCCACAAAATAAAAAAGAAAAAAACACCTTTGTGTCACCTTCCCTTCAACTTCCATAAAAACAGATGATTTAAAATATGCTGAGTTCCAAAAATGCTAGTAGGTTGATCACTATTGATTTGCAAGCTTATCTCTTACCTTATAGAGTTTGAGAATTGTTTTAATGCATTCATGTACAAACTTGGTCTGCTTCTGAAGACTTCCACCATACAGTGCTACCAGTTCTTCATTGAAATTCACACTAAAGAAGTCAAAGTGGTACTTAAAGTCAATGTCTTCTGCTTTTCTCAGTGCAATAGAGCCAATAGAACGAACTACAAAGGAAAATGGTAAAGTGCACATTAAACAAAAGTTTTAAAAGTTTCATCCATTCTTATCTTTTCTCAAATAACTTTATCCCATACCCTGAATATAAAAACCTATTTCAGGACATCCTTTAATAGTATCAATTTTAGAAGAACAAACCAACCTAGAGGATGTATGTCTTGTGCCCAAAATATTTTTTAAATTAAATAAAAGGCAATCAGGTCTTTCGTTCTCTACATACTTTCTCTTCAGTAATGGCAACAATAAATGAAAGGGAGGGAAAGGATTTCTTTGAAGAGTAAGAAATAGGAATTTTGTCCCACTTGAGTATTTTAAGAATGAGAATATTTCTACGAAGAAAAAAGAGGAGGGGGAGGAGAGAGAAGGGGAGAGGGGAGGGAGGAGGGGAGGGGAGGGGGAAGAGGAGGAAGAAGAGGAGAAGAGTCTGCTCATCACTTGGTTTAGGTACACATGCTTGATTTGTTTCTTACACATGACACCCAGTCCTTGTGAAAATCCTGTCATGCTTCATCTTTTAAACATACACCCAAATGAAATTTCTCATGGTTTCCTCCACTACCTTCCTAATCGAAGCACCATTATCTCTTGCCTGAACTAGTTTGATAGTTTTTTAACGGGGCTCCCTACTTCCATTACTTTAGATTTAACTTTCTAACCATTTCACAGAATTTATTAATTGAACATTAATTGACTTTAGAAGTTGCCGTGTATGGTTCAGCAATCAAAACACCACTGTTTGCAATTCCATTTTAACATGTACAGCTCACGTACTACACAACTCATCATGTAAAGTGTACAATTCAATTATTCAGTTATACAATTGTTTCTGCAATCTAACTTTAGACATTTTTAAAATCACCCCCAAAAGAAAACCCTGTAATCACGAACAGTCATTCCTAATTCCTCTTCTCTTCCTAATTCTAGGAAAGCACTAATCTACTTTCTGTCCCTATGAATTTGCCTATTCTGGACATTTCTATAAATAGGATCATATAATACATGGTCTTTTATGGCTGGGTTTTCACTTATCATAATGTTTTCAAGGTTTATCTACACTGTAGTATGTAATTCATGTATCAATAATTACTCCCTTTTTTATTGTGAAGTAATATTCCATTATATATATATAACATTTTATTCATACATTTATTAGTTGATGGACATTTGGGTTGTTTCCACCTTTTAGTTATTATGAATAGCACTGCTATGAACATTTGTATGCAAGTTTTGGCACAGACGTAGATTTGTTTGTCTTAGGTAGGTATCTAGTAGTGAAATTGTTAGCTCTTAGAACTCTATGTTTAACATTCTGAGGAACTGTCAAACTGTTTTCCAAAGGGGTGAACCATTTTACATCTCCACCAGCAATGTATGAGGATTTCAATTTCTTCACATCCTCAACAATACTTGTTATTACCTATCTTTTAGATTAGTTACCATAGTAGGTATAAAATCATATCTCACTGTGGCTTTGACTTGCATTTCCCTGATGATTAGTGATACTTAGTATCTTTCTTACTTCCACTCTTGCTCTTTTATAGCATATTCTCTACACAGCAAAGCCAGAGGGGTTATCTTTAAAAAATAAATCACATATACTAGATTGGTTCAAATTTTAAAATCTGACAATTCAAATGTTGTCAGGGATGTGGACCAAAGGGAAGTACAATGTACTGTTCTATGAGGATAAGTTAGCACAACCAATACAAATAAAAGAATACACATAGACCGTGACATAGAATTACGCTCTCACAGTGTACTTCTTACAGAAACATAGGCTTATGTGCTCTAAGATAAGAACGTTCATTATTTATAACTGCCAACACCACAAATGTCCAAACACAGAATAAACTATGGTATAGCCATACAATAAAATAATACAGTGTGAGGAAAATGAATAGATCACAGTTCATATGACAACTGGATGGATTTTAAAAACAATTTGAGTATAAGAAACCAGACACAAAAGAAAACATACTGCATGATTATATTTATACACAAAGCTTAAAAATAGCCCTGGATAAGTAGCTTATATTAAGAGTACATATTTAGAAGCTAAAACTATTTAAAAAGTCAGAAAATTATTACCTTAAAATTAGGATTTTTATTACATCTAGAAAGAGGAGAGGAAGTTTTAATCAGGAAGGGGCAGTTTTAACTTGGATCTTAGGTCCATCGATATTCACTTCACAATATTTTTTTTAACTGAATATCTATATTCTGTGCATTTCTCTGTATGTTACATTTAAAATGCAATGATTGACCAAAAAATCAGATTATGGAATTTCCTACCCAAAACTGTCCAAAAGTGTCCCATCACAAAGATCAAAATTCGAAGCCTCTTCCACAGCTTATATGATATAGTCTGTGGCTACTTTTCCACCCTGACCTTTTTTCTCTTTGTTTAGTCTCAAGGTCTATACCAAGCATGTTCTTGTCTCAGGGTCTTCCCACAAATAGTCACATACCTTAGTCCCTTGCTACTTTCAAGGCTCTGCTCAAATGTCATTGCCTTATAGTGGCCTTCCCTGCCCGAACCTGTTCATCCTCCAGTCCTTACTATGGTTGATTTTTCATTCGAACTTTTAACATTACTAACATACAGGTTTGACGTCTATCTTCCCAACGAGAATGTAACTTTGATCAAGGAAAGGACATTATCTGGCTTAGTGTGCTTTGGATCCCTAATACCTAGAATACTGCCTAGCTCATGGTAGGTACTCCATAAATATAAGCTAGATAAATAAACATTAAGTAATTATACATGTTGAAATAATTCTGTTTCCATTAATAACCAAGAAAGCAGATTTTAGCTGAAATTACTTCCAGAGCACTTGACTGTTATGCTTGAAGTAACTGCTGTATCTCAAAGCCAACATTCAATCTGGAATTTGTGCATGTAACTTACCTACCCTCATCTTTCTATGTTCCCCTCAGTACTACTAGATCTCTCGTTTTTCTTTTGACATTCACTATATTAATTTCAGGTGTACAGCATAATGATTAGGCATTTATAGAACGTAAGTCTAGTCCCCCCTGACACCATACGGAGTTATTACAATATTTATTGACTCTATTCCCTAAGCTGTGTTTCATATCCGTGTGGCTTATTTTTAAGTGCCAATTTGTACTTCTTAGTCCCTTCAGGTTTTTCACAGTTCCCCACCCTTCTCCCACTAGGCAAACATCAGTTTGTTCTCTGTGAGTTTATTTCTGTTTTGTTTTTTAAATTTTTATTGATTTTGAGAGAGCAAGAGAAGAGAAAGAAACAATTTGTTGTTCTATTTTATTTATGCATTCAATGGTTTCTTCCAGTGTGCGCCCTGACTGCAGATTGAACCCGCAACCTTGACATGTCAGGACAACACTCTAGCCAACTGAGCTACCTGGATAGGGCCTATTTTGTTTTTCAGATTCCACATATAAGTGTAATCACATGGTATTTGTCTGTCTTTGACTTATTTCACCTACCACAATACCTCTAGATCCATCCATATTGCTGTAAATTAGTAAGAAAGACTTCATACTTTTTTTTAAGGTTTTACTTATTTTTAGAGAGGGTTAAAGAGGGAGAGAGGGAGGGAAACATCAATGTGTAGCTGCCTCTTGCATACCCCCCACAGCAGGTACCTGGCCTGCAAACCAGCCATGAGCCCTAGTTTGGGAATCAAACCGGTGACCCTTTGGTTTGCAGGCCAGCACTCAATCCACTGAGCCACCCCAGCCAAGGCATCACTCCTTTTTTTACAGTCGAGTAATACTTCATTTTTCCATATATACCACAGCTTCTTTATCCACTTATTTTTTTGTTGGAGTATTTAATCCACTTACATTTAAAGTAATTATTGATAGGTATGCAGTTATTGCCATTTTATTAATTGTTTTCTAATTGCTTTTATAGTTCTTCGTTCCTTTCTTATTCTTGCTCTCTTCTTTTGTATGTTGTGACTTTCTAATGTTGTATTTGGATTCCTTTCTCTTTATTTCTTATCTAGCTCTTAAAGATTTGAGGTTTGTGGTTATCATGGGCTTCATACATACCAAGTTATGTTTATAGCTGTCTTATTTTAAGTTGATGGTTGTTTAGGTTCCTACATATTCTAAAATCACTACCATTTTTACTCACCCCCTCCATGTTTATGTATTTTTAAATTACTTTTTACTTCTTTTGTGCATATTTGTATTTATCCCTTAATTTACTGTTGTAATTACACATGGTCTTCCCACCGTCCCTTGCTTTCAATCTTTGTACTAGCTTTCGTGTTGGCTGACCCACTGATTTAATTACGTGTTCACCTTTTTTTAAATTATGTGTACAGTGAGAATTTTTTCATTGTAATAATCTTATTCCTATTTTTAATTTTTTTCTTAAGAGGTCCCTGCCTTGCCCTGGCTGGTGTGGCTCAGTGGATTGAGCGCCAGTCTGTGAACCAAAGGGTGGCTGGTTCAATTCCCAATTAGGGCACATGCCTGGGCTGTTGGCCAGGTCCCTGGTGGGGAGTGTACGAGAGGCAACTACACACTGATGTTTCTCTCCCTCTTTCTCCTTCCCCTCCCCTCTCTCTAAAGGTAAATAAACAAAATCTTAAAAAAAAAAAAAAGGTCTCTGCCTCTGTTTTGTTTGTTTGCTTAGTTTGTTTTTTTAGATTCAGTTGTTGATAGTTATGAATTTATTAGCATTTTAATGTTCATAATTTTGATCTTCTTTTTCTTAGATAAGTCCCTTTAACATTTCATATAATAACAGCGTGGTGATGATGACCTCTTTTAGTATTTTCTTGTCTGGAAAGCTGTTTATCTGCCCTTCGATTCTGAATGGTAGCTTTTCTGGGTAGAGCAATCTTGGCTGTAGGCCACTGCTTTTCATGACTTTGAATACATCTTGTGAATCTCTTCTAGCCCGCAAAGTTTCTTTTGATAAATCAACTCACAGTCTTATGGGAACTCCCCTGTAGGTAACTAACTTTTCTCTTGCTGCTTTCAAGATTCTCTCTTTATTGTTAACTAACCTTTGGCACTTTAATTATGATGTGTTTTAGAGTGGGCCTCTTTGTGTCCATCTTGTTTGGGACTCTCTGTGCTTCCCGGACTTGCATGTCTATTTCCTTCACCAAATTAGGGAAGTTTTCTTTCATTATTTTTTCACACAGATTTCCAATTTCTTGCTCTTTTTCTTCTCCTGGCACCCCTATGATGTGAATGTTGGACATCTGGAAGTTGTCCCAGAGGCTGTGTATACTGTCTTCATCTTTTTGACTTCTTTTTTCTTCTTGTTCTGATTGGTTGCTTTTTGCTTCCTTATGTTCCAAATCATTAATTTGATACTTGGCTCCACCTACTATTCTGTTGTTTCCCTGTAGATTGTTCTTTATTTAACTTAGTGTAACCTTCATTTCTGACTGGATCTTTTTTATCCTGTTGAGGTCCTAAGTTCCTTAACCATCTTTATAATCAGTGTTTCAAACTCTGCATCTGGTAAATTGCTTGCCTCCATATTGTTTAGTTCATTTCCTGCAGTTTTGTCCTATTCTTTCATATGACATATAAAATGACATGTGAATAGAAAAATATGACATGAAATAAAGACATATTTCTTTATTTGCTCATTTTAGTTGCCTTCCATGTTTGTTTCTCAGTAGATCTGCTACATCTCCCGGTTTTGGCAGAGTGGCCTTATATACTAGGTGTCCTGTGGGGCCCAGTGGCACAATCTCCCTATTCACCTGAGCCTGATGCTCCAGGGGTTAGTTGTGTGTGTCGTATGTGCCTTCCTGTTGTAGCTGAGCCTTGGTTGCTGGTGTCATGTCCGAGTGCGGGATTGACCCTCCAGCTGAATGGCTGTGAAGACTGGCCATGACAACAGCAGCAAGTTGTTGTTTAGGGGCAGAGGAATTTACTTTAGTGGGGCTCAGCTGCGTGTCAAGTCCACCCTTTAGGTGTGTCATTTGTGGAGCTAATAGGGTGGTGCTATTGTGTAGTGTGAAGCTAGCTACCAAGTGTGTTGGTTCTGAGGCCTCTAGAAAGGGGTTCTGGTGCAGGCCAAGGTCCGTTGTTACCTGTGCCGGGCCCAGGACCACCTGGTAGGAGCTACAAAGTAATCTGAGGTTGGTGGCTACCTTTGCTAGGGTTAGAGGTACCAGAGAAGGGTTATGCTGTGAACCAAGGACAGCTGCCACTAGTGGTGCCTGGGATTACTTAGCGTGAGGTACAGGGCATGCTAAAGCCAGCTGCTGGTTGCTTGGGGTTTGTGGACCTTTGAGATTTTAGGAAAGTCCCAGACCAGCTGCTTGTGTAGACTGGCTTCTGAGAGAGGTCTGGTCTGGGCAAGTGAATTGGGTGGGGGCGGGGTTTCAGAGAATATCCAGGGAGCATTGTTTGCCAGGTTGATGGAGACTCAGACCTGGTGCCAACATGCTCCTGCAGGCTAGGTGAATGGAGAGCTCAACAAAGGAACAACGGTGCCTGCCTTTAGTCCCCCTGCCTTGAGTCCAGGAGAGGTGCCACTCTACCCCTTGCCCTGAAACCAGATAATTCAGTTCCTTTCCATGTGTTTTTGGTGCTTTTCAAGCTTCTGTCCCTTCTGTGAAGCTTAGGGCAAGTTTTTGAGAGCAAAAGAATCTGTGCTTGGGCCCTTTAAGAGGGTACCTGAGCCTATAGCAACCTTCTGTCTCACATGAACTGAGTCCCCTGCTGATTTTCACAGTCAGCCGATGTGATGACTCCCCTTCATGGCACTGATGCCATGGGCTGGGGCACTCGGAGTGGGGCTGGGACCCCTTGTTCTTCAGTGTGAACCTCTGCAGCTGAGATATCCCTCCCAATTCTTAACTGCTAACATCGGTGTGGGACCAGTCTGTTTCGAATCTCCGTCACTTCTACCAGTCTCAATGTGGCTTCCTCTTTGTGTCCTTAGTTATAGGAGTTCTGTTCAGCTAGTGTTCAGGTGATGCTCAGGGGTGTTGTTCTATAATTTAGCTGTAATTTTGATGTGGTCACAGGAGAAGGAAAGCACAGCATTTACTCTGCCACCTTGACTGGAAGTCTAGATCTAATTTAAAAAGCTTCAAAAGAAAGAAAGCAATCTCCTCTCTTGTTCAGCATAACAAAAACCCCTGATTTATTTCTCTAATCAATGCTTCAGATTCTGTGCTCTGCATCCTCCACTTCCAACAGAAGTCTCTTTCTTCTGCTGATTCCTGAATACTTACAACACCTGTTTATCCCACTTCACTCCATTTTCTTTTTCTCCTTCTTACTTTTTGCAAAGTGGTCTTCAACATTCTTTTCTACGCACTTCTCACATGTACTTTTCTAGACAAAACATCATACATTTATGTTTCTAGTATTCCTAGCACAGTACTTAATGAAGAGTATGTATCTGCTAAATTCTTTAACTGTATTTTACAGCTTTCAAAATTTACTTCTGAGACTTACCTTGCTTATAACTTCCAGCATTACCAGGGAGAAAGAGAACTGGAATACCCGTTAATGGGAGAATTTTGTGTTCATCAGCATAGGATCCTTCTCCATAAAGATATAATTCATATGCAGGATAGCGTTTCGCCAATTTCTTTGGAAGTTCTATTTTCTACAGCAAAATAAGTAAAATATAAAATACAATATTACTTTAATACAATTCAGCCACACCATATCCAATTCTGAATTATACAAATAGTACAATATAAAAATATTACTGATGCTAAAACTGCACTTAATGAACAAAAGAAGTTCTACTTTTAGTCTATTCATATGGAGAATTAGTCTTGAATTATTTGAGTTTTGACCCATGCAGTCTTCGTGAAGGCATAAAACGGAACTACAAGAAATTCTAATAAGTATAAATTACTCAAAATAGCCACTGACAACAGTAAAACACTGGTAGATGTCAGCAAGTTACATGTTAGTATGATTGAAAATACATTTAATTTAGTATCAGTATCAATTATACTTAGAAATGAAAAGCTTTCCATTATCAAGTTAATTCGTTTTTGCTCTTTGAAACTGTTTTGTAATGTTTTTCCTTTTACTCAGGCTCAACTACATATTCCAGTTGTTACATCATTCAACAGAAAGCAAGTCTGTTTTATAATGCGGCTTTCTGACCTCTCAACTTTATATGCTTTGACCTACAATGTGCTTAACAAATTAATCTGAACTTTATAGCCATGTCTTGGTCAAGACATGTACACTCTTCTCACCATAAACATTCCAATGAATTAGCATCCATTTCAGTTTTCATGAACCAGGTGCATGGTTTGTCAGCAAGCCTTAAGCTACTCTGCAATTCATATTATTGTATACTAAATGAGCCAGTAATTCATATACATTTTTTAAACAGAATATAAATTAGGTCTTAATGCCACCCCCAAAAGTAGACATCTATAAAAGCAGTAGTAAAGTATAAACTCTTCCTCTGTTCCTTTTTCAATGAAAGAAACCATTACAAATGAAACCAGTTACTTTGAACAGATTTTATTTAAGTGATATCAACAAATTTAGTGATCTAGCAATGCTCCGCATATGCCTGATAAAAATTCCAACTACTGAATGCACTTTTAAACTGTAAATGCTAATAGCTACTGAAAAACTTCACTATTGTAAAAAAACAGAATTCTGATTATTCATGCACATTCCTGAATATTCCTTTGAGGATATTACCATAAACAATCTGTGCCAATAACATCATGAAAGTACCTTTAGAATGTAAGCTTAATGTGTAAGATACTAGCAACTTTTTATCTCCTCAAATACTCAAAAGAGAAATACAAACTCCACTATTTGCTTTACATATGCACGTGTACTTTAACTCAAATTAGTCCTGATATTGATTATGCACTGTATATAATCAAAAATGAAAATGACACAATATTTCATTTCTTGAGGTACAAATTAAGCAAAAAAGAAAGCATGAGAGAACTCCTCCCAATTTAGAAAACCATTTGATAGAATAGTAGTATATGCATATTAAATCATTATTCTTTTTAGGTCAGTAGCTAAACCTAATTTGCAACTCGTTGAAAATTAACTCAGAAAAACAAGAAACTATAAATGTATCAAAAAGGAAATATTTAATTCTCTGGAGACAGAAGAACAGGCAAAAGAATAGATTTGATATAGTTCATAATCTACTACTAGGAAAGAAATTTTGTAGTGAAAAAGTGTACATTGTTAAAAATATAAAGGCATACAATATGGAGTAGCAAAAAGTAGATATGAAAAAAAAGGAGGTAGAACCAAAAAAAAAAAAAAAAGTGGCAGCAGTAGGCAAATAACAAAACTGCATATCCAGACAGAGTTAATGTTGGGGGTGAATGGCAGGAAGAATCAGGAAGGGTACTGACCAGACTGAGGACAGAAAAGGTGTAGGCATACAAAAAAGATGCTGATGGAAAAATGGAAGAGGGTCAAGGGATTTGGGGAAAAAAAAAACCAAACACTTATAGCAACAAGAATCTGATATATTTTAAACTGATTATTTGAATAGGTTATATTAAATGAGCAGTCCTACCCCCAGAAAAGACCTCTGATTAAGATCAATTACCTTTACACTTAAATATTATCTCCGCCCATCATGCCCCTTCTGTGCCCCGTCTCTGGACTCTGCTTCAGTACAGGTTCTTCTTATCTCTAACCTAGATCCCTTCCAAAACACAAAAATTCTAACAAACTACCAAGTGCTAGAAAAATACTGGGTCAAGAAACTAAAGTCTTTTTTTTATGGTCTATCTCTTTTAATTGTAATTTTAAAATGCAAAATAACCAAAAAGAAAAAAAAGATTTTGGTCAAAATGAATGCAGCTTTTAAGCTCTTATAAAGAGCTGGCGCTCTCAGCCCTTTGCCCACCACACTTAACAATACTCTGGAGGATTCCAGCTTGACAAAAAGATCTAGGGACAACTAAATCTTTCAGACCGGTGTCCCTCCATGTCATAATCTCCCTGCTACAATCCACAGTCCATACTGCTGTCCAGAAATACCTTGTTAAAACATATGCCTATATGTTTCTTCACTGCATATAAAGATGATAAAGGCTTAGAGAGAGGTCCTTCAAAATTTGGCTCTAATTAGTCTTCCTACTTTCTTATAACTTACATATGCCAAGTTTTAAAATTTCTTTTTAATATGTTTCAAAATTCAAGATTCAGTAGGATATACACTTAATAGGCTCTGTCATACCTGTGGCCTTTTAGCCAGTTTCCTACCCAGAAGGCAATTAATATCAGTAGTTTGTGCTTGCAGACATATTTTACACATGCACATACAAGAAAACATGTTTATCGCCTATTTCCTCCTTTTTACATAAATGGTTACATACTATACATACTGCTTATGCAATGTATCCTGGTACCCTCTTTATTCACAAATGCTAGTCTTTATTCCGGCACTTTATTACCTACCTACCCTCCACAGTCCAATTCACTACCTCTGTTCTATAGCCTTTGATTACCAAAAGAAATCTAAATGCTCTCTTCTGTGAAGAGCCTTGTACAAACTCTCTTATAGTGACATTATAACATGTAGCACATTTTACCTATCCATTACATTCTTGTTTTCCCCCATTATGAAGACATAAATTAAAGGCACAAGATTTGATTCATCTGTAATTCCCTCACTCATAATTAGGATCTACAATATACCTAACACACACTCACTGCATAAATGATTTGCTAAATAAACATATCTAACAACAGAATATGTGATTTGTATTTTCCAACATCTTTTCTTTCAAAGAGCAACTGTTAGATCACATACCTGAAGACAGGCAACTAAATTACACTAATGGAGAAAACAACGCAGATGTTTCTTCTCCAGTTCTACAATTTGCCCAAAACTGTTTGCTACCATATGAAAGCTCTGCCTTGCTGTCATGAGACAAGAAGCTTTAAAGGATAATGTGTATTTTGCCTAGTAGGTTGGTGAGGTATTCAGTTGGCTCTCAATAAGAAAATCTGGGAAAACCAAAGGTAAAGAATGAATAGAGGTAATCTAACAGTTTTAAATTCAAAACCTCATCTTTACCAAGAGTTTCAAATTCCTGTCCTACTTTTTATTTTTCAAATGGAAAATAAAATTCAGTATGTTTCATGTTGTTCATTTCCTCTAAAAGAGAAGAAAACCCAACAACTAGGATATTCCATCTAATAGAAAACAACCTGTGAATGAGGTTACTATAAAATATAAGTAAGCAATACATAAAATAAGTTTAGAAGACTTGTATTTATTAAAAACCATTGGTTCTTAATAGATAACCTCAGTTATCCATATATCTCACGACATTCAAAATGACTCCTTTCTATAGGTAGGTTTGAACTTGTAAAATAACATGAGCTAGTGTGTACAATAAAAGGGCTAAGAGTCAAATATAAATACTGTAGTGAATTAACACAGCTTTTTACATCATAAAAATAAAAATCTACCAAAAAGCATGGATCGAAAACTCCTGCCACTATAATTATTTTTGTACTAACAAATTATTATCAGAATGTAAAACCTCAAAAAGGTGATTTGAATCAAAATAAGTAAATACAGACACAAGAACAGGAAAAAAGCCAAATGGCTCTTTTGTATTAGCTACACTAATTTTCAGCGTCTTTCTAGTCAATTTTATGAGGCACGAAATGCATCTGTGAGGGCCATATGCTTTGTTCCCAACACTAAGCAATTTCCACTACCGCAAATATTAATATAGCTTCAATAATTGTGAGCAATCTAAAAATAAATGGGAATTAGTATATTGTTACAAAATAATTGTATTTTAACCAAACTCTTCAATGCAGTACAAAACTAAAGGGACCTACTTCAATCTATTGGGAGTTTCCTAATTATTAAACCATATAAAAATCATAGGTGATTTATTATAAGGGCTTTTTTTCAGTTAAAAAAAATCTACACTAGAAGCCCAAATATTTAACTACACATAGACTCTGATAAAAATAAAATAGCATATTTGCTTAGAAAGAGACTACAGTAACATTAAAATTTTCTCCTTCAGTAGCATTTGATATCAAATGTTTCCATCCCCTTATAAGCACTGATGTAAAACGAGGGTAAGAATCTCAAAACAAATAAAAGCTAAACTAGAATTTTGCCCATGGGAAAGGGAAGCTCATCAGCAGTTTAAACCTTAAGTAGTTTTGAGATCTAAATAATAGCAGCATAATTAAATATGCTCCTCCATAATGACCTGTACCCAGAAAAAATCACGATCAGCATCCTCCACCTTAAAGAAAAAATCTGCTATGGTTTTAAAAGTATACTACAAGTACATTTTATCAATATGTATTATAATGCAAATATATTTTATAGTAGGAGGCTATTATAATATGTATTTCGTAATTAAGAAATGCGTTTAGACATGAAATAATCACTCGGAAGAAATCTTCGAACAGTTGTGTGATTTGTCACAACCCCCTTTTACAGCCGGTTATGAATGAAATTCTGGATTCTCCTATGTTGAACTGATGAAGAAACTGTGATTGAAAATGTTCAAAATGGAACGTAAGACGTGGGGATGGAGGGAGAGAAGGAGACAGAAAGGCCAGGTCTCTCTTAAATAGCAAACATAGTGAGATAAATAAAACTAACACCATGAAATAGATTTTGAACGCAACTGGTAAGAGGCGACATGCTTAAACACGGGAGTACAGGCACACGCACGGACCCAAAACCTACAAAACAGAAGACTCCGCAAAATCTTTACAGGAGGTAAACTCAATAGTTTTCCATTTAATTACTCATCGGGTTAGCCTTTCATACAGAGGTAAAACCCTGGAGTCTCTAAGGCAGCCCTGGAAACTACCTAGCTAATGCACTCCGCAGAAGCTCGGTTCCTTTCTAGAAAAGCAAGAGCTGCCATATACATCACTGGGCGAAAGGGGAATTTAGACGCGTGAGAAGCAAAGGAGGGCACCTGTTAAGGTAGGAACGCGAGGAAGATGGGGTTTGGATTTAGGGAGAGGGGCTGAGATTGCGTCTCTTGGGATGAAGGGGGTTGGGCGCGACCAGTCTGAAAAGCCTGTGCATAGCATTTGGAATCTGGCAGAGGGACAGGGGAACAATTACGAGTGGGGACAGGAGGATGCTCGGGGAACCACCTAGGAAACACCCCATCGTCAAGAAGGGACACAAAGGGCAGGTGAGGGGAGTAATAGGGTTCTGCAATCTTCCGGGACGAAAAGAGACAGAGGCGAGGTTGGGATAAGGGGGTCGGAGAGGCGCGGGAAGCCAAGGCAGAGGAAACCCATAGAAGGTCCAGGTAGGAAGGGCCGGAATCTCGGAGCGCCCAGGTGAGGAGAGGGCAGAACCTCACCTGATACTCCGGGTACTCAAACATGTAGCTCATACTGCACTTGTTTTCCTCGAAGCCGAAAAATACGTCCCACAGCCCTAGCGTGGCCATGAAGATCATGAAGGCATAAAACGCCAGGTTCCAGAGGTTGACAGAGTGAAGGTACATCGTGGCGCTGCTGCTGCCGCCGCCGCCGCCGCCGCCGCCGCCGCCGCCGCCGCCGCGGGGCCCCAAGCACGGACTGCAAGCCGAAGGCTCCTAGGAGCCCGCGCCGGAGCCGAGCCCGAGCAGCGCGCGCTTGCGCGGACTCCCGGCCTGCCCGCGCGCCGCCGCACAGTGCGCCTGCGTGCAGCTGGCCCGCTGCGCCTTCCGCCGGGCTTCTCACAGGGAGAAAGGGGGATGGCGATTGCCGCTGGACCACAAATCTAAGCCTAGGAAAAAAACAGAAAGCGAGCTGGGCTGGAGGGTGAGGGGGAAAGGGGAGGGGCGAGGAGAGGAAAAAGGAAGAAGGGGGAAGGGGAGGGCGATGAGAGGCAAGCTGGTGGGAAAGAAGGGGGAGGCGAGGAACTAGAGAGGAATGGGCGGAGCGCCGGAGTCCTGGAGGCTAGGAGGGGGAAGGGATGGGGAAGGGTGTCATTTGGATTAACCTGGAGAGCCGGAGGCCCTGATTAATGATGGTGAGCTGATCCGGGCAGGGGAGGAGGGAATTGAAAGTCGTCCTGTCGGAAACACCTTTCCCTTCCTGTTCAGTTTTGAAACGGCTCAGGCCTCCGCAGTTTGGTTTTCCCAGTGGTAACAGCACATTCACAGCTCTCAGGCCCAGTGAAGTGAAGCAGGGAACAATTGGTTTTTTCCCCACCTCTTTGACCGCCGACGTCTGCCCAGTAGGTAACAACGCCTAAAAGCACCAGCTCATAAAAAGCCACCAGCAGGTACACAAGATTCTGTTCTTGGCATAAGATGAAAGCCTAGATCACAAAAACCGTCGTTAGTTTTTTAAAAATGTTACCAAAATTTTCATTAACACTGATGCCCCCAACAGGTATCTGCATAATCCGTTTGACGCTGACTGCCTTGCTCCTTGGAGCCTCCACCTCTCGGGAAATTGGTTCCACGTTAACGAAGGGAGGCAATTTAGCTCAAGCCTGTACTCAGACTCTCAAGAGACTTAATTCATCTTGAAGAATTTCGGTTTGGTTTTGCACAAAGGAGAGGGTAAAAGCAGCTCAAAAACCATTCATAATCATATATAGCATCATCAAAACACTGGAATGTTATGAGGAAAAAACCCTACGATATCAGTCTTTAAAGCTGACCCAACAGCGGGTAGGTGGGGGGCGCGCGCGCGCGCGCGTGTGTGTGTGTGAGAATTTGAAAAATTCTCCTTAAAATTATTTTTGGCACTGACTGCATTTCACTCAGGCTGATTTTCTGGTATTTTTTCTGTGCAGAGGAAGTTTGCCTATGACACAAAGAATTTTAAAACTAAAAGGAAGCTTATAGTTTATCTTAACACACTGATATCAGATGTGAGAGCACCTGTGATGTGGGTTGGGCTTTGAGACGAGTGAGTGGCATGGGAGACAAATCATTTGGGGAACGATTTAAGTTACACATTAAAAAAAAAAAAGGAATATTGTATATTGAGCCTGGGAGCTTGAGAACAGCACAGAATGTCTACTCCTTGTCTCTTCTAGCATATTGTAACCACCACAAGTAAATGAAGGGTGAATCTGCACTCATATCAGTGCTTCTTAAACATAATGTACATATGAATGGCTTGGAGATTCTGTTTAAAAGCAGACTCTGATCCAATAGCTTAGGAGCAGGAACCAAGATCTTGCATTTCTAACAAGCTCCTGAGTAATGCCAGTGACGCTGGTTAGTGGACTACACTTCGGGTAACAAGGATCTACCCAGCCTGAGGACTCTGCTACCCAGAGAAAACCCTGACTTGAAAATGACAGAGCTTGCTCTTCTGGTGGCTTTCATTGAGTGTGGCAACCTACTGCTTTTATTGTCCACTCAGAAAGGAGCAGGATAGAGATTCAATGGATTCTTTATGTTTGTAATCTTTGTGTTCCTACTTTTTACTCCCTTTCCACATCTGTCATTATCCCCCTCCTGGCTTCACTTCCTTTCATATCTAAACTAACCCTACTGAGCATTGCCTAACCACCCTCTGCTAGTGCTGTCAGCATCCTGAACTCATCTTTCAATCCCGCTCTGCTTACAAACTTCAACTTTGGGTGAATATAGTCTGCCTCTGAGCTCTGACACTAGTGTGCCTGAGCTCTGCTGGAGGAAATGACAAAATTATTTGAACTGTTGTTCAGAAATACATGTATATGTTTCTGATCAACTTTCCCTCCTTCAAAGCTGTTTTTAAGCTCCCTACACCATCTCTCATTTTTTAACAGGTTATTAGTACATAATTCTATCTTCATATTCACAGAGATAATTTGGATTTTCAAGTGCACATTCCTTCAACTCTGAATTCCCAAGGTTATCATCTCCATCCAGTCCTAATTCAGTTAGTACATCTAAAGTGGTTAGAACAATGCCTGGCACTGTTATTGTGATCTGCTGTCCTTAGAGGACATCAAAAGCAAATCCCTCTGGTTGTTCTTTAGTACCCGTCCCCTTGTCTCTCTTCAGGAAATTAGTTCTATCAAGTTAAAGTTTTTGTCAGTCTTTCTCATTCCATCCTCCATCCCTGGAAGCATATAAATATGCTTATGCCTTATTAGTTTAAAAAAAGAAAAATCCTCCCTGCAACTGTCACCTGTAGTTCTTGCCTTCTCATCTCAGCCAGGGTTCCTAAAGTAGTGGTTTTATAAACTTAAATTAATGCAGCCTTTCATAAAGGAAAAGACCATATAATCATTTGATAATCACTCTTCAACTGAAATATTTAGTAACTTCACTAATACAAGTTTTTCAGAAAAACTCATGTTCGTTTAAGCTCCATTTTGCTTTTGTTTGCTTGCTTTATTTACTGGAGGCAAAGACTGTCTTTTCCACATATAGTAACCACCCTCATATTACCTAGTTTTTGTACAGAGCAGGAATTGTCTGTCTGGTGTGGTAATCTAGTTGTTTTCTAAAATTAATTTCACTAAACTATATTGTACTACCAGTACAGAGTACTACCCTCACACTGTAGCTTTTTAAAATAAACTTTATTTCTTCTGTTTCTTAAAAACAAATATATAATAGATTGACTGTTAGAAACTAAAATTAATTTTAATCAATTGGCTTAAAACCCCTTCTCATGCTTGTTGGTTTTACCTGCCTCCTATTACCTTATATGTAATAGGCATTCAATAACTGTTTTTTAATTTATTTGAAAATATGAGTCTACAAATTATAGTCATAAAACCTCACCTTTTCTTTGATGCTTCAAGGCTAAAGAAAAAAAAAAGGAAAAGAAAACACAATGCCAGCAACTCTGTGGCTGCCAGCTCTGTTTCCAAGGAAACAGAGAGTAGATCATCAAAAACAAAATAGGGATTTTCAACCTGATTACCCTTTTTTCACCAGTTCAGTCTCCATTGCTGCAAAATGAAAGGCAACATAACCTCAGACTTGCAATCCAGATTTTTAATTGTTTGTGCTGTCTCTCACTATTAAAACAAGGCCCTCAAAAATTAATCTTTGGGGTTGTGTACTGGTTTTCTTGTAAAGAAAGCTAAACTTGTTCACAAGGATAAAGAATATCTTTTAAATATAAAGCGTCATATATTCTGGCTTTTCCCAAAACTAAGATCACCTTTGAAAGGGAAGAGGTTTCAGATCATTTGAGAGTAGAAGTGGGTTGCCTTGGTGAGTGTTTCTTGTATCTTCTTTGTCTCTCGTTTTCATAGTACATGGCTGGATACCTGGACAGACCTGTTATGGCCAATTTGCTGAATAATGTAATATACTTTAACTTCAGAACTGTCAAATGTGTAAGTTATTGAATCTCAGATTTAACATTTCTTTGGAAAATATAAGAAAGTATGGGAACAGGCGATCTGTCCGGAAAAGTCAAGCCATTGTTAATATAATGAGAATGGTTTTCGTGACATTGATGTAACCTGGCAGCCAAGGAGAGTATACTGGGATGTGCATGCATGAACAATGATGACTTCACTGTACTGGTCAGTGGGGGTGATAGATGCCATTGAGTGAGTATGTGTACTGTGTGGTCTTCACATTCAAAATGACTGAGCAAGCAGAGCAACAAAGCTGCATCAAATTTTGCATGAACATTGAACATTCCTCTGCAGGAACTAAATTTGGATGTTTCAGAAGTCCATAGCTAAGGGCAACTGATGATTAGTACCTTCATCACAACAACGCGCCCACTCATGCATCATATCTCGTGCAGAGTGTTTCGGTGAAAAATCAAATCACCCAGGTGACTCAGCCCATTTACAGCCCAGATTTGGCACCCTGTGACTTCTGGCTTTTCCCAAAACTAAGATCACCTTTGAAAGGGAAGAGGTTTCAGATCATTGTTGAGAGTCAGGAAAATACGGTGGGACAGCTGATAGTGATTGGGACTGTGAGGTCCCAAGTTGCCAGCTTTGAAGGGAAGTGAGGCATCATTGTTCTATGTGCAGTGTTTCTTGTATCTTCATCAATAAATGTCTCTCGTTTTCATAGTACATGGCTGGATATTTCCTGGACAGACCTCGTATAAATAAAGGATAAAGATTTCTAGAATGAAGTGTTTTATTTAAAGAAATAATAAAGAGAGAAGGATACGTTAAAAAATATAGGAGTCAAGGGAAAAATAATTGGACTTCCATTCAGTAGCACAATATACCACTATAACATTGTTCTTTGTTCCACAAATTTATTTCTACCATGGATAAATGATCCTGAAAAATAAGAGCTAGCTATAACAAAAGTTTGGTTTGGCATTATTATATTAGTCAGTGGTGCTATGTGTTTTATAAAGGCAATATTCCTTTCAAATCAACATGTTTTATACCGTGAACTTATACTATGTTATGTGTCAATTGTATCTCAACAAAGCTGGGAGAAAAAAAGCAGTGTTTCTATTTTAAAAATTTAGTTAAAACCAGAGGATTCTCTTTGGGTTGAAGTGCACAGTAAAAATTTGCTTCAAGGGAAGTACAATTTAAGGGGCTTTAAATGGCATTTAATATTTTCAGATAATGAATTCTGAACTTCAAATAATAATTCTGATGGGACA